AAAGATATGCATTTGCTTGTGCTATGTGACATTCTCTAGAGTGGTTATGTTTAGTTAATGACTAGTGACGGGTACACCGATACTGATGTTGGTCAAAACATTTTTTATGTGGTAGAGTCGTGCTGCAGCTGTATTATAGTTAAGCACGAATGGGCTGACCCGACTGAGAAATGACCGCACTCTCACTGAATACCAGCGCAAAATAGCAGATTAATGCTGCTTGGTTTCGTATTGCGCGTAGAAAAGGGGCATTCCATCTAAGTTCTCAGGAGTTACAAAGCATTATACGCATTTTATTTATTTATTTTGTTGTACTTAATGCTGCTGTTTCGTATGGTATACTATGGAGAGTGTAAAAAACCGCTGGATACAGATAGGCCGCGTGCTACTATCAGAAGCCCACTGCTGGACATAGGCCTCTCCCATACATTGTCTCACAGGGATGTTTACCAAGTGGTGGGCTGGCAACTGCAGTTTTTATTTTTAGATGTTATTAGAACGAAGCTGCGTCCTGGTTTGTTTTCTATCGCCTTTCATGACACCCACGGCACGATATGGGGTAGTGGATATTCATACACGTTTTATGTTGAGTTGATACAAACTACGATTACAGTGAGGAGCTGGATAACTGGGTGGCAAGTGATAGCCTGAATCCAAGAAGGCGTTTGTCTTTGAGAGCATCTTCGATCCTTGTAAACGGAGCATGCCGGTTGTACAGAGATGAAACTGACAAATTGTTAAAAGGTATATATTAAAACTTCATTTATAAAACTTGTTTATTGAATGAATGATCCTGATGAGAATAAATAGCTTTTTAGAAAGAAAAATATTAATTTACTAATGAAACAACGTTACAACATTTCACCAACTTGTGCCTAATGAGGGTCAATGACCTCACGCTCGCCAGATGTCGCTAGTTGGCACTGAGGTGAACTTGTTTGTTGCGCAGTTGGTCACACAGTATCATCATCATTGAAGAGTTGCAACTTAATGAGAAGTATTATGAGTTTAAAGTGGTAAATAAAAAAATACATTCAATAATTATTATACAATAAACTATATTGGTATAAAAATCATTCATTTCATTTAATTTCAATGTATGTATACAAACACAAATAGGAAGGCTTCGGTATTGTTTTCTTTAAATTTTTTCACATTTTTAACTTTTTTCAATTCTTCCATTTTTAGGGATATACGTCGTTTGGTTAATCGATTTTTAAAATATAACTAACAATTTAGAACGAAACATTAATCTCCACACTTTTCTTACAAATTAACTTCACGCGCTATGAAATCTGTCAAATATTTAAGGACGCGTTTACAAAATGGATAGGTATAGAATCGCACTACTACACTGACAAAAGTCACACACACACTAGTGTACGCACGGTTGGCTGTGGGAATCGTAGTCAAATGAAATTATTTTGATAATTTGAAAGATTGAATTTGTTTTTCATTTCTTATACCTACCTCAGAAATATACTTCGATACGAAATATGAATACCTGCTCCAAAGACTGCTTGGCACTGGAAGCCCTCTACTGGTAGTGAGATGTTAGCTCTGGACTTTGAACTGGTTTTGTCAGTTATAATAAGACCTTACCTACCTGCGGACTTGATGGAGTGACCTGAAGGTGTAATTTGGTGATTACAACAATAGGAACTCCTAGACTAGTGGAACTAGGTGTGCTGAGTTTGGGTTCGTTTTGTTGGTTATGATGAGACCTTACCACCGGACTTGATGGAGTGACCTGAAGGTGTAATTCGGTGATTACAAGTGGAACTCCTGGACTAGTAGAACTAGGTGTGCCGAGTTTGGGTTCGTTTTGTTAGTTATGATGAGACCTTACCACCAGACTTGATGGAGTGACCTGAAGGGGTAATTCAGTAACTACTGCTGGAATTTCTGAACGAGTAGAACTAGGTGTGCCGAATTTGGGCTCCGTTTTGTTAGTTATGACGAGTCCATACCTCCGGACTTGATGGAGTGACCTGAAGGTGTAAATCGGTGATTGCAACTGGAACTCCTAGACTGGTGGAACTAGGTGTGCCGAGTTTGGGTTCGTTTTGTAGGTTATGATGAGACCTTACCACCGGACATGATGGAGTGACCTGAAGGTATAGTTCGGTGATTACAAGTGGAACTTCTAGACTTGTAGAACTAGGCGTGCCGAGTTTGGGTTCGTTTTGTTAGTTATGATGAGACCTTACCACCAGACTTGATGGAGTGACCTGAAGGGGTAATTCAGTAACTACTGCTGGAATTTCTGAACCAGTAGAACTAGGTGTGCCGAATTTCACTCCATCAAGTCCGGTGGTAAGGTCTTATCGTAACTAACAAAACGAAACCAAACTCGTCACACCTAGTTCTACTAGTCTAGGAATTCCATTTGTAACCACCTGATTACACCTTCAGGTCACTCAATCAAGTCCGGTGGTAAGGTCTCATCGTAACTAACAAAACGAACCCAAACTCGGCACACCTAGTTCTACAAGTCTAGGAGTTCCACTTGTAATCACTGAACTACACCTTCAGGTCACTCCATCAAGTCCGAGGTATGGACTCGTCATAACTAACAAAACGAAGCCCAAATTCGACACACCTAGTTCTACTCGTTCAGAAATTCCAGCAGTAGTTACTGAATTACCCCTTCAGGTCACTCTATCAATTGAAATAATACTAGTTTTTTACGGAATTTATCGCGTCTATTTAACTTTTAATACCCGACGTTTCGAACGCTTTACAGCACTCATGGTCACGGGCAGGACTGAGATGTTCAACGTCCATATGTCATAGTTAACCGCGGTTACCATAGATTAAAATTTAACTTTTGTTCCGATCTATGCATAAGTTATAAGTTCATACTGCATAGATCGGAACAAAAGTTAAATTTTAATCTATGGTAACCGCGGTTAACTATGACATATGGACGTTGAACATCTCAGTCCTGCCCGTGACCATGAGTGCTGTAAAGCGTTCGAAACGTCGGGTATTAAAAGTTAAATAGACGCGATAAATTCCGTAAAAACTAGTATTATTTCACTCTATCAAGTCCGGTGGTAAGGTCTCATCGTAACTAACAAAACGAACCCAAACTCGGCACACCTAGTTCTACCAGTCTAGGAGTTCCAGTTGCAATCACCGATTTAGACCTTCAGGTCACTCCATCAAGTCCAGAGGTATAGACTCGTCATAACTAACAAAACGAAGCCCAAATTCGGCACACCTAGTTTTACTCTTTCAGAAATTCCAGCAGTAGTTACTGAATTACACCTTCAGGTCACTCTATCAAGTCCGGTGGTAAGGTCTCATCGTAACTAACAAAACGAACCCAAACTCGGCACATCTAGTTCTACCAGTCTAGGAGTTCCAGTTGCAATCACCGATTTAGACCTTCAGGTCACTCCATCAAGTCCAGAGGTATAGACTCGTCATAACTAACAAAACGGAGCCCAAATTCGTCACCCCTAGTTTTACTCTGCAAGAAGTTCAAATAGCGGTCACGAAAGTACACCTTCAGGTCATGCCATCAAGTCCAGAGGTAAGGTCTCATCATAACCAACAAAACGAGCCCAAACTCGGCACACCTAGTTCCGCTCGTCCACGAGTTGCAGTAGTAGGTAAGTTTATATATCCTACTTATTTTTAGCTAAATAAAAACTGTGAGTATAAAAATAATAATTTTATCACTTGTCAAGTACCTATGTTTCCAATTTGTTTTTTTCTAATATTTTGTGTATGTACAGCGATCTTTTCAGAATGAGCCGCTGCAAGCAGGCGATACAGTGTCCACTCACGACGGCGGCCGAGCGCGGACTGTGGTTTCATCGAAATCTTTGTACAATAAATCAAAGCAGGCACCAACAATAAAATAGCCCTTATTGCAATACATTATGATTCATCCATATTACCAAAATATGTGAAAAAATGTGCATCAGTTTTTATTTTTTTTACGACTATTTGTGATATTTTGTTAAAAAATAAACCCAGGGTTTTTTAATTGAATATGTCTGTCATCTTATAGTATTTTTTTAAATTTTTTAAATATGTTGATAATAGACCAAAACATGTACCGAAACACAAGCCGGTATCGTTAATTTTGTAGAAAATGGCAACGAAAGTTCGTTTTTACAATATAAAAAACTACTATTTTCAACAAAAGAGTTACAGACATTTGCAGATGAAGAACCAATCTATACATGGTAGTTTTTACTTATATTTGATTTGGTTTAGTTTTGTCACAAAATCTACCGAAAAACACCCTAATTTTGGTTGATTTGCAAACGCGTCCTTAACCTCATTAACTAGTAACGTAACTACATTTTTACGTGGTAGAGCCACGCTGTAGCTATAATATGATTGTAGCACGAATGGGTCGACTCGACCGGGGCAGGAACACGCTCTTACAGAATAGCAGCGTAATGCTGCTTGTGTTTCGTATGGTGAGTGTAGGGAACTGGAGTCTCTTTTTACTGGAAACCAGGCGTTCCATCTCAGTCCTCAGGGGAGACAACGCATCTGCATTTTGATTCTTGATTGAAGATTTATCTTATCGTAGATGTCTATGAGCTACAGAATTCACTAACCATCAGGTTTACTTTGTGCTCGTTTGTCACCCTTATGCTATAAAAATAATCTGAAGATATAAAATTATTACTCAAACTTTACAAGGTGAAGTTTCGAATCGATCACTCTCTTCTCAGTGTGATTGATCTGGGAATTTTGATTGAACTAAATTCATAATTTCTTCTATTTTTTGTAATTAATACGGATTTGAGTACTTTATGACGTAATTAAGTTTAAGTATACCTAATGCAATTGTTTTTGGTGTTGAACTAACGGAGCGACTTATTCACATTGTGATTAACCTCATTAAAAAGATATTAATAAAAAAATAAAAAAATTACGCCACATTAACAGAGATCCTACCCAGGTGATGCCGGGGCAGGTCGCTAGTTTACCATAAAATTTCAGATGCATTCAAGTTGAGTCAGCAAGTCATGCTAAGCAATTGCCAGTCTGATGCATCAAGCTTAGAAGATGTTGACGAATCTTTTCATACAGACGAGGCTAGAGAGTATAGAACAGAAGGTTAGTAATATACCACTAAGGTTATTTGAAAACAGGGATGATGATGAAAGAATTAACATGGATCATTTTATTTTTGTTAACCTTAAAAAAAAGAAGGATGTTCACAATTGGACCATATGTTTTCTTTATGTATGTTCATATTGTTATGTGCAGAATGGACGTATTATTCTACGTACAGCAAGTGTACAATCACGTGGCAACTATGGCAAATGTGCCCCCTATGCAACAATCGGTGGTAGAGGCCTATGTTAAGCAATGGAATTTTGATAGTCTATAATGATAATGACGATGATGATGAAACCTCACCGGATTCGATGCGCTCTGGCAGCAATTAAATTGTTTATAGAAATTTTAAGTGCCGAATTACTTACCACGTATTTAGCTTGTGTATAGTGAGTATAGTGAGAAAACCTGTATATCCATTGCTGTAGACACGCCTGCTCTCTTCCCTAAGAGAGTATAGAGCAAGGAAAAGTATACTCCAATGTATTTCGGGTTTGACGGTTTTCAAAGAGTTTTTGTATGCATGCGGTTATATTACGTTCGTAGTACGAATGGGTCGGCTCGACCGGGTTAGAAACACTCTATCACAGAATATCAGCATAAAATATGATCTTAATGCTGCTGTTTTTAGTGTGGTTAATGTAGAGAATAGGACAACAATTTTATTAGAAAAGTGGCATTCTATCTTAGCCCCCAGGGGCTTTTATTACCTATTTGCATTACGATTCTTAATAAAAGATGTAAATGTCTACAACGCCTTCTTGCCATCAGATAGATTGTGCTCGTTTATCACACTAATACTATAACAAAAATATTTTTTAGATACTTCAACTATTTTACAAAAAAAAAGACGTATGGAAACAGACAACAGTTCAAAACACAGGAAACGGGTTAAATTAGGTGCTCAAAGTAACTCCTCAAAATCTACCTCGGACAACGGAGGATCTGGTCATAATCTCGATGGAGTAGTCGGAGGAAGCACTAATTTGGTTGAGAAATGTAATGTGCCATCAGACTCTGATTTGGAGGTAAAGTAGTTTATAACAATATATTTTTATTTAAGATGATTAAGAGACCGTATGAAGTCCTCAAACAATTTCTAGAATGTTTTTGCTGTCCACGACTTAAGAGGAGCCCTTATCGTTACAGAAGGTTTTATGTCACTCCAAAGTGAGGAGTTCATCTGGATAGGTACCATACCAACACCACCCTCTTACTTATATTTGCCGTAAAATAGCATTGCATGCCTGTTTTGTTCTTGAAAAGGTAAAAGCAATATGGTTGCTGGTATCCATGTACTGCAGTAATCACTTACCATTTGACTAGACTAGACTGTATTTCCGTTTGTCACCTCAATTTAATCTAATGGAAGGGTTCAAAGACTGTGATACTAACCGGTATTTAAAGTTACAGGAACAAGAAAAGGAGAAAGAAACACGGAAAGACAAAGCAGTTCAGACTTTTAACTCTCTATTTCAGACAACAGGACACTGCAGTGGTGCTAGTACAGGATTCGACCAAAATCTACCATTCGGTGTGATGCTAATCTATGACGATTATCAGTCTAGAATACCGAGTAAAATATTATTAACTTCCTTGAACGCGGCAGTTAAAAAAAAGTTAAAAATTAATTAAATTGCTATAGCACATCAGAAGTCCACCGCTGGCCATGGGCCTCCCATTTACATTACCTCATAGGACGTTTGGCCGATATTCGTCCTATGAGGTAATGTAATGTAGTTGGCAACTGCAGTTTAAAATGACTCCTACTATAAATATAATGAATCATACTATTAATATAATGACTCCTACTATTAATATAATGACTGCTATTAATGCAATGAATCCTACTATTAATACAATGACTCCTACTATTAACATAATGAATCCTACTATTAATACAATGACTCCTACTATTAATATTATGAATCCTACTATTAATACAATGAATCCTACTATTAATATACTGAATCCTACTATTAATATAATTAATCCTACTATTAATCTCATGTCTGGAAATAAAGCTGCAGTGTTCAACAAATATGAGAGCAAACATACAACTGACTGTGAAGGTAAAAGGCATTCCTTTAGGGAGGCCTATATGCAGCAGTGGACTTGTGGAAGGGCTGCAATATTGATGATGATAATTTAACAATATAGGTTAATTAGTTTAGAAATAAGGATTTTTGTAAAATTTAATAAAAGTTCACATAATTATACAAGTATGTTTGTTTATCATTGCCTTTGTATTTAGGTTTGTGGTAGAGGCACGCTACGGCTATATTATGGTTGTATCACGATTGTTCGGATCCAAAAATGAAGGACCTTGCTGGTACAATACCTGCGTATAATAGCAACAGTACACTGCTATGTTTTGTATGGTGAATATAGAGAACCAGAGACCGTTTTAACTGGAAAAGCATTCCATCGTAGACCTCAGGAGTGACAACATATCTGCATTTTGATTCTTAACTGAAGATATATGTAGATATCTATGGACACAGTATTCACTTACTATGGGGTGGACTGTGCGCATATTATCTTTATACTACAAAAAATTAAAAAAAGTGATACGTGCTTGCTCAGGGAATAAGGTTAATGTTTTATGTATCGTTACTTGGTAGAGCCACGCTGCAGCTATATTATAGTTAAAGCACGAATGGTTCGGCTCGGCTGTGATAGCACCACGTTCTCACAGAATACCAGCGTAAAATAGCAGCTTAGTGCTGCTGCGTTTCGTATGTTGAATGAAGAAAACCCGTTCCAGTAAAAAAGGTCTCCGTTTCTCTATACTCACCATATGAAACACAACAGCGTAAGCTTCTATTTTACGCTGGTTTTCTGTGAAAGCGCGGTCCTTCCTCGGTCGAGCCGACCCACTCGTGCTACAACTAAACTACTTGTACTTAGTCAGTTCATAAGTTCTGTCAAAAACTTTTTATAAAATTAATGATACACTTTTTATAATTATATAGAAATTATATATTACATGAAAGGTCATTTAATTTAGAATACAATTTTATTTACATTATTCAAAATTATCTCGTCTATTTTGAATACATGACCTTAAACGACGCGGCTAATCATCAACCGCAGCAAGCATCATACTCATATCTATTTCTGCCGCTGCTTTAGCCAAAGATGCTCGGAGATATTCCAAATTCTGATGAGATTTAGCACAGCCTTTCTCCTAAAAATGTTGCCATATCTTATAATCCAGTGGCTTAATCTGGACTAGAAGAGGGCCAGTCTTTATGTCCGATTAAGTCAATTCCATGGACGGTCAACCAGTTTTGCATGCTTCGTGCCTTATGAGCTGGTGCAGAGTCCTGTTGCAATATCCAATGTCTGTTATTGAGCATTGTTTGAGAAAGAGGTTCCACTATGTTTGTTAGAGCGGTATTTTTGTACACCTCGGCACTGTTTATTACACCTTTATCACAGAAAAACACCTCATTTAAGACTGAATGACGACTCCAAGCCAAACCATGAGTGACGAAGTATAATGTGCTCGTCGAACCTCGGAATACGCGTGCTGGCTTCTTCACTGCTGTGGGCATACACCTTACCATTTTGTTTATTATAACTTTCTTCGATGTTTAAAAATGTTTCATCCATAAACAAAATTTCGCGGTATTTTTTCCCGCGTACCGCCGTAACAAAGCGCGGGATCTATCCAGCCTAAAATTTTTCAAACGCTCGATTAAAAAATGTCCGGTCTTCTTACGATAAGCTCGTAGTGCTAGGTCTTCATTGATCACTCTTTTGATCGTGGTTTTGCTTAGGCCCATCTGAAGAGCTAAGATTTTTTGTTTACGAACAGGATTTCGTTGGATTCGCGCCTTCATTGCTTTGATGATCGCGGGTGTCCTAACTGTACGAGGTGAGACGGTCTTCTTACGATTTTCGCAGCTTGAATCTTCAGTAGATCGTTTGATAGTGCGATAAACAAATCGTAGGGTTATATTCAATTTTTGTAGAATATTGAAAATCTCTTTTTGCGCTTAACCACAGCGGTACAACGCGATAACCGCTACTCTATCTTCTTTCTTTGACCACTCCATACTTGAAAATTAATGAAAATTAATGTCTTTTTATTTTCGGCAAGCACAAACGTTATATTTTTAAAATTGGTGAAGTTCATATAGCCAGTATTCAAATTTTTTAAATAATAAGGTTTTGACAGAACTTAAGACCTCACGAAGTATAGCTGCAGTATGGCTTCACCACGTAAAAATGTTATAATGCGAAAGAGAAACTTAATAATTTATAATACGAGACCGCGGAAACCTTTGAAAAAATTTTCTTTACAACATCAACGGTTATCAGTAATAAATAAAATAGTAATTACTCGTAACTGCTATAGGAAATGTGATAACTTTCACTTTACTTTCACTATTACTCTTCCGTTTTTCTTTCTTGTTTATATCTTAGAACTGTACCCGGTTTCGAACAAATTGCAAATTTTTTTTTGCGCCCGAAGCAATTAAGGGCAACCCTCCGGTAACGGGGGAGGGAGATGGAGAATGCTCATAGCATACCACGCAGCCGGCTGCGTGGTTATGTGGAGACTTTTACCCACTAAATTCCGCCTTTAGGGATTGGCTTACTGATCAGACGAGAGATCTTTAAGCCGTAAACGGACGCGACCCTCCTTGGCAGAAAGTAGGGCGCAAGCGGTGAAAAGCCGCTTAGAAGTGTGCCTAACTAAGGTAGGTTAAGGGATGTGTTAAATAGGCTCGGCCTTAGCTACCAGGAGGCAGGTCAGCCGAAAGCATGTTGGAGGGGTCCGAGAGAGAGTTTCTCGATCTGCGCACACTATAGCGAGTGTGAAGAGGGGCTGCATAGGCAGCTGTCTCACGAATGAGGCGATTTGAGTGGGACTCTGAGGCTCTAAAAAATCTCTCAGAGAGTGTTTTGAGGAACTGTTGAATTGTTGGGAGCTCTAAGTCTCGCTGGAGGTCGGCATTACGGACATAATAGTGAGTTCGTGGTCCTACTACAGAAGAGATTTTGAAATATCTGAAGTTCATTCATAATGTTGGGTTTGGCATGTGCGAAAATGAGGCCCGCGTAGTCATAACGGGTCGTATACAGACCTTATATAGGGTTCGCTTGTTCCGGAGGGACATTTTACTGTGTCTGCCCAACATGCTGTTGAGCCTACCTATGTGAAATCGTGCGGTGCAAGTAACTTTCTTGATATGGGGCTCAAAAGTGAGCCCTGCATCAAGGGTGGCGCCTAAATATTTGGCTTTTGTTTGCCATGGGACAGGTTCCTAACATCCTGATTGACAGTGAGACGGCGTCGTTTATGTTCGAAGCAAACGGCGGAGCTCTTCTCCGGGTTTACGTCGATACGCCATTTATGGAACCAAGCTCCTAAGTCGTTAACTGACTTTTGGACCTTGTTCCGAATCTGTAGCAGTGAGTTGCCTTTGAAGTAGAGGGCTGTGTCATCTGCGAAGAGGGCTAGTTTAACACCATTCGACGGGATAGGTATGTCGTTGGTGAATAGTTATGTATAGAAGGGGGGCAAGCACAGAGCCTTGAGGGACACCGGCTTTGATTTGACGAGTAGAGGATAGCGTGCCTTCGTTTTTAAAACAAAAGGCACGATCCTTCAAATAGGAGGCTACGAGGCGGACAAGACGGTTAGGGAGGCCTTGTAGATATTGAAGAGATTGAGAGTTTGTAGATAAGGCCTTCGTGCCAGACTCTGTCGAATGCCTTGGCAATGTCGAAAAAGACCGCGATAGTCTTCTGACGATGAGGATAAAAACCGCTAAGGATATATTCCACTATCGGTAAACTTGCTGGGGGCACGAGTGTTTGGCTCGAAACCCAAATTTTTGAGGGATAACATGAGGGTCGCTGTCGCATGAGAATAACTTTCGAAAAGTTTGCCCATGGCCTTGAGGAGGCTGATGGGACGGTAATTGGAGGGGAGGTGGTGAGGTTTGCCTGGCTTGGGAATGCCAATGACAGTTGCCTCTTCTCAATTCTATTTTGTCTTCTCTTTCCAAGAAGTGGCAAA